AAACCACCGCCACTGCTGCCACTCCCACAACCACCACTGCAAAAAAATAAAATAAAAAATGGCCCTTTCATCACCAGAAGCCACCAATCTAAACACTGCAAAAATCCCAGAAAACCCCTCCTCCCCATGCTCCATACACCTCCAAAAACTGCCTCACTTAACAGACTATCTTCCAAACCTTAAACCACTACCAAACCCTTTGGAAAATAATACATTATATCACCCACCAGCAGGCTTTTACATCGGTCAATCTGAAGTAGTCCTTGGCAAGATCATCTTAGACTTGTCTGCTGACAGTGAAGCTGTGAGTTCGCACTCACCCCAAGTGGCTTACAACAGAGCTGGTCCGCGCTGGCAAGTCTTTTTTGAGCCAAAAGATATCAAAGCTGCCATTGTTACATGTGGGGGACTGTGTCCTGGCATGAATACAGTGATCAGGGAACTTGTTGTTGGGCTGTGGGAGATGTATGGAGTGCGTCAGATTTATGGGGTGACAGCTGGTTATAGAGGGTTTTATTCTAGAGACCCTATTGAGCTTAATCCAAAGCTTGTGCATAATTGGCACAAACTGGGTGGTACAGCTCTTGAGACCTCCAGAGGTGGTTTTGATCTTAATAAAATTGTGGATGCCATTGAACATCACGGTTTTAATCAGGTTATTTCTCTAAATTTTGACTCCATGTTATAATTTTCTTTGCTAATGGTTTACTTTTTCGATGTTGTGACTTGTGATCATGATCAAGTTGGCTACTCTTTGGTACGCTTAATTGGTACCTTCCAATAATAAAGTTACTTGATTCGGTAGGAAATCTTCTGAATTAGAAATTAGAGCATATGTGCCACATCACATGCTTTCATTCCACAAGCTAATTCATGATTGAGTCCATTATGGATCATTGATGTGTTGTTACCTTGCCCCATCAATTCAATTAGTGCAGTAGTTAGGTAGCATTTTGAAAGCCTTTTGAGTTTCATCTTATTTGGCAAAAACTACTTTTGGCTTTGCCTTATGATAGCAAAGTCATTGCCTTTTTTGTGGTTTCGAGGGGAAATGATTAGACTTTTACTGCAAATGAACTTGTGAGAGAACAACTATGTGAAGAAGTCTTCAATTGAACCATCTCCATTCTCAAAGCCTGTGCTTTTTGGTTGTTGTTATTATCTGAAAACAATATCCATTTTAGGGTTGGAGAGGAGCAATGCATGGTCCCTGCTCCAAAAGTCCATAAAAAATGTAATGGTCTGTGCATAACCTGGAGAAAGTTTCATAAAGTGTCCCTAGAATTGTAAATGTTTGCCTAGTTTGATTGACACCTGACACCCAAAGCTTGATGAGAAATTCTTGAAATTTCATTGAATGGAACATTAAAAACTTCAGCCTTTAGTAGGTTTATGGAAATTGACAGTCTTTTTCAACAAATCAGTTGAACATTGTTTGATGCCTCTCATTTAACGAGTCTTTTGACAAAATCAAAAGAGGGATATGTATTGGTCATTTAAGCGAGTTCTTGAAAAGGAAATCATAAATTAGTGAACTGTCCTCTTTGTTGTCCAGAGAGATGGGTCTTTTTCTCTGTTCTGTCTGTTGAAAAGCTAGATGGCTTCTTCGTTAGCAACTTGCATTATGACTTATTCTTTAATTCTTGTTTATTACCATGTTGTGCTTAAGAAATGATGCTAGTCAGGGTCTTTCCTTTCTTCATTATTTCACTTGCTTATGGATAGGTGTATATAATTGGAGGAGATGGAACAATGCGTGGAGCTGTGAACATATTCAATGAAATTCAACGTCGAAAACTAAATGTTGCGGTTGCTGGAATTCCCAAAACAGTTGACAATGATATTGGCATCATTGATAGATCATTTGGATTTCAGACAGCAGTCGAGATGGCTCAGCAAGCAATCAATGCAGCTCATATTGAGGCTGAGAGTGCAGTTAATGGTATTGGCCTGGTGAAGTTAATGGGTCGAAGCACAGGTCACATAGCCCTCCATGCCACATTGAGCAGCCGTGATGTGGATTGCTGTTTAATTCCTGAAATCGATTTTTACTTGGAAGGAGAAGGAGGATTGTTTGAGTTTCTGGAAAAACGACTGAAAGAGAACGGACATGCAGTCCTAGTTGTTGCCGAGGGAGCTGGGCAGGATATGATACCAAGAACAGAGGCCCAAAAAGAAGAGAGGGATGAGTCCGGCAACTTAGTGTTCTTAGACTTTGGTGCGTGGATAAAGTCAGAGCTTAAGAACTGGTGGACAAGAGACCATGCAAACGAGTTGTTCACAGTGAAGTACATAGATCCCACATACATGATCAGGGCAGTGCCCGCAAATGCTACAGATAACTTGTATTGCACTCTTGTAGCATACTCGGCAATTCACGGTGTAATGGCAGGATACACTGGATTTGTCCCTGGTCTTATCAATGGAAATTATGCATATATCCCAGTGGAAGAGGTTGCTCATGCTAGGAATGAAGTTAACATAAAAGACCATAAATGGGCATGGGTGAGATCTGTTACCAATCAGCCTGATTTTGTCAAGCCCTAAACGTCATTCAAGTGTATGCTAATAAAATCACTCTCTACTATGTTTGCTAATAAAATCCGAGTTCATTCCCTAAACATTGCTTGTCCGTGCATGCTTGCATGGTGTGGTCAGGAATTAATGGTGTTTTATTATTATTATTATTATTATTATTATTATTATTATTTTTGTGTGTTTGTAAAAGCTATTTAATTTGCTGAAGTTTTGCGTTGATATATAGATTTCACTAATTTAATCATTGAAACATCACCTTTTTTATTTTTCAGGAAAGGTAATCACTTCTCTATTTGCTTTTATGAATCTTTGGAAAACGTCTATGTAATCATCAAGTGAACTGGCTATGAGCTTACATGCAGCTTGAAACAAGCTTCTATTGTTCCACATATACATGGAGGTGCCCAGTCGAAACTCTTTAATCCATCAAGAAGGGCCAAGAAAAAGGAAGGGTCCTTGAAAGAAAATGAAAGGGTTAATTTAAGACAAACCCACCTGTCTGTCTATCACACAAATACCACCTTTACAGCTTAGACCCTATGTTCTGTATGCTAATAAAACTTGAGTTCAATTACATATTGATGGTGAGAGATGTTAGCGGGCATGAATATTTCACTAATGCTCACCGGAAATATGAACCTGCAAAGCTGAAACGACCACACAGTTTTCCCCCCCTTCATTAACTGGCTCTGTCATGGCTGGTGTGAGCTTTCCTTATTTGCTTGTTTGTGGACGGTCATATGGTCCCACTTTGTTGAACCAATTGGGACTTTGCCAACCAAGTTGAGATAATGGATTTGGTTTTTGTGTGCATAGGCTATATGCTAAAGTTACTGCAATGATTTTTCTCTAATTATTGAATTAACTCTTAATTTCATGACATACAATCATGTTCTCTTTAATCATCGATTGTGGGATTTTGGGGCCATGCATGTCAATCTGCTTTGATGAATCTTTGTAAACCCGCAAAGTCATGTTCGCATTAAGAAGTGATCATCATGTGCAGTGACTAAGAGCTTACACGGAACTAGAATCAAGCAAAGCCTTTTTTATTCTATATGGAAGTGCCCAATGAAATTCATTCCATTAAGAAGAAGCAAAGAAAGAAAAAGGGAAGGATCCTAGAAAGAAAAAAGAAAGGCGTGTTTGATTGTGCTGTATGAGCAAATCAGGGATGATCTTACTTCGACACTCTTTTATAAAGAAAGACGAAGCAATTCCTTAATTGGTGCCATATAGACTGTGACTGCGTAAGAATCAAGAATCTCTTATACGTGGCCAGTAGCCCTCTGAAAACAATGTTTCTGCTTTCCCCCAAGTTTCCAAAAAGCTTGAAACTTTAGTGAAGAGATAAAGAAAGGTTCACTTGCCAACTTTCATACAGAGACAATCTCCCCAAAGAGTATAATCCTGTAGTAGCCAGTTAGCATTTCTTCTACTAATTTATACTTTCTAGCTCTCTCGCACATGGCCTTTCAATGGGCATAACAAAGTTTAGGCTGTAAGCCCTTCTGCTTGCATGGAATTGGATGCCCATGATGAAAGGGAGAGACAATTTGCAAGTAAGCACGAGCCACCTCATGACACGAGGCAGCCGACAACATGAACATCCCCCTATGATCACCAGTGTCCAAAATCCACACCTGGGACGTAAAACTTGGGACTTGGAAGGTGGTCTAGTAGGCAGTGGAAAAGTGTGTCCAGAAAGTCGGTTTATTACAATATTAGGCTTCAAGGCCTCAAATGACATCCAACGTCCTTAACCTCGTTGTTGTAGATGTTTAATTAGTTAACTACTATTTTACTCTTCAAAATCAAAATTTCTTTGGTAAGCTGTCCTATCATCACCATAGAGCCTTCATAACACTCTATCCATCTCACAATTACCAATACAGCACTTGACTGTTCTTTAATTCCAACTTTCTGAGGTGGTCTAATCATTAAATAAATCTACTTTTTTTTTGTTTTAACTTCAAATATTTAGGGTGATTTGTCTTGATTATAAATTTAAAATTATTTGTTAATCAATACACTCCATAGATTTATTAATCAATGCAGCAAGGAAACAAGAAACAGCTAGGAATCCTTTGCGGTCTTCATGCATCATCTATAAAGATCTGAGAAATTTCAAAGACCAAATGAAACAAACACAGCAATGACAAGGAAGCAAACCATCAAAGACAACATCTTTGCCTGGCAAGTTACCCCAATATATCAAGGGCACTGCCCACAGTAGAGTCCGCACGCCCGTCCCTTGCTCAAAAGACAGATTAAAGAAAGAGAAGCAATAGGGAGGGTGGGGACGTACAAATCAAGATTTTTCCATTTGGGATCAGAGAGATACCCTGTTTTGGATCTAAACAGAGATGGGTTCTTGAGGAAAAGAGACGGCGGATGCCTACAGGGAGAGGGTGGAGAAGAGTGACACAACTGCGTTATGAGTGCAGATTGTTTTATGGAAGGGTATTTTTATAAATCTTAAAATGGGTCATTTGGGAACAATAATATTTATTAAAAATTGCGCTTACGAAGCGAAAATACACTACTTTTATCGAATGTTTTTTGAATAGTATTATTCTATCAAATTTTTTAATTAAGGTGCTAATTTGAAAAACAAAACTAAAAATTGGGGGGTCATGAAGGCATTGCGGAAAGTAAACTAAAATATCTAACAAATTAAGATATTCTCCGGCAGGTTCTTACTATATAAGTGGTGGTTGCCGCTCTCTACCCGCTCACCACAGAAACCGTTTCAAGTTTCCTATATCTGTCCCATCACATCTCCCTCTCTCCCCCCCATCAATGAATGGTATTGAAGCCCCCCCTCAATGAATGGTATTGAAGGAAACCCTTAGAGCTCTCTCCTTTCTTGGACGAACAAAATGTCAAGATTATCAAGAACTCTGCTTTATCTTGTGCCAGCAATCATACTACTATCAGGGTCATTTCCAGGAGAATCAGCAATAGGAGTCAACTGGGGGACAATCTCATTTCACAGGTTGAAGCCTTCAACTGTGGTGGATCTGTTGAAAGACAACAAGATAAAGAAAGTGAAGTTGTTTGATGCAGACCCAGGGGCGCTTACTGCTTTAATGGGGAGTGGGATTGAAGTCATGGTTGGGGTTCCTAATGAGATGTTGGCTGCTATTAGCTCTTCAACTGATGCTTCTGATTTGTGGGTTAGGCAAAATGTGTCTAGATATGTTGTTAAAGGTGGTGCTGATATAAGGTTATTCTCTTTCACTCTCCCCCTCTCTTCCTTGTTTAAGTTTTGTTGTTTTTGCCTTTTTGGGTCAATTTAATTTCTTACAGGAGTTGGGAATGAAATGAAAAGGAAAAGGCCTTTTTATTCTTTCATCTGGATCTTGGCTTTTATTTCCTTTTAAATCTTGAGTGAATTGAGATGGATAAGTGCAAGGCAGTGCCATGTTAATGTTTGTATGTTGTTGAGTTGGGTTCCTTGCCAAATGTAGAGGTGCCTATGAGTAAAGGTTGTGAGGTACTTCTCAAAAAGGAGCATTAGGGTTGCTACCAGGCAAAGTTGGTACATCTTAGCTAATAGTGCAACCAGAGATACAATTATCTATGGGATTTGTATTGGGATATAGACCTTACTTCCTTTTTCTTAAGAAAAAAAAATAAGAAAGAAGGAAAAAACCCTTAAGTTTTCTCTAAATATGTTGCGAATCCATCACAGAATTCATTAGAAACCAAACTTGGCTTGGGATTGGAAAGGCAATTCCTTGTGGAAGGCGAATCAATAATTCAGTAGAAACCCAAAGGCCCTTTTGATTAGTAACATGTTCATCACTAATAATGCAGAATCTTTAGTAATTGCAACTTCATGATACCAGTACCACAGTTTGAACTTCTAATGGTCCTATACAGCTGAGGTGTGTTGTACCTCCTTGACAAAGAGTTTTTTTGTCTGTGAAATTGTGGGTTGCCATGCCAAATAGCAAGCTTCTCGAATAGCTCCTCTTCCTAGAATCTAGACACATTGCTCGTGAGATACCTTTAGGAATTAGAACTGATATGGCACCTAACCATCCATGAATAGCTATTTTGTTTCAGTAATGTGTAAGATTTTAGGAATGAGACCAGATAGCTTGGATTGAGCTAAGAATCTTCTCACCCATGGAATTGCATAGGTTGCAGACCAATACTTTCATAACCTAGAGTGCATTTATGCATGTTCAGAATTCGGATTACTGCATTTGTTAAAATGTGGGATTTGCTTGTAATGTTCTACGTATATCAGGAGTTTTTCTGTATTTCTCATGCGATGCTCTCGTATACCATACAATGACAGGTACGTTGCTGTAGGAAATGAACCATTCCTCACAAGTTATTCAGGTCAATTTCAATCTTTCGTTGTCCCTGCTCTGCTCAATCTACAACAGTCTCTGGTGAAAGCAAATCTAGCTAGTTATGTAAAGCTAGTAGTTCCTTGCAATGCTGATGCTTATGAGTCTTCTCTTCCTTCTCAAGGGGCATTCCGACCTGAACTAACTCAGATTATGACTCAACTTGTGTCCTTCCTCAACTCAAACGGCTCACCTTTTGTTGTGAATATCTACCCATTTCTTAGCTTGTATGGGAACTCAGATTTTCCACAAGATTATGCGTTCTTTGAGGGGAGTACCCATCCTGTTACAGATGGGTCTAATGTTTACTACAATGCTTTTGATGGGAATTTCGACACTTTAGTTGCAGCGCTCAACAAACTTGGATATGGTCAAATGCCCATTGTTATTGGCGAGGTGGGTTGGCCAACTGATGGAGCCATTGGCGCAAACCTCACTGCAGCAAGGGTTTTCAACCAGGGACTTATAAAACATGTATTGAGTAACAAAGGAACCCCTCTGAGACCAGATGCCCCTCCCATGGATATTTATCTTTTCGCTTTGCTTGATGAAGGAGCAAAGAGTGTACTCCCAGGAAACTTTGAACGACACTGGGGGATTTTCTCGTTTGATGGCCAGGCTAAATATGCACTGAACCTTGGTTTGGGTAACAAGTTACTGCAGAATGCAAAGAATGTCGAGTATCTCCCATCAAGGTGGTGTGTGGCAGACCCCTCAAAAGATCTAACAAATGTAGCCAACCACCTGAAAATAGCCTGCAGTGCTGCCGATTGCACAACACTTAATTATGGCGGATCTTGCAATGAAATTGGGGCAAAAGGAAACATCTCATATGCATTCAACAGTTACTATCAGCTCCAGATGCAAAATGCACAAAGCTGTGATTTCGATGGACTTGGTATGGTGACATTCCTAGACCCATCAGTTGGTGATTGCAGGTTCCCTGTTGGAGTGAATGATCATAAGAGTTCATTAGCTTTCAGATCATGTCATGGGTGGACCACCATTTGGACTTCTATCCTAGGGGGGGTGTGGTTCTTTCTAATGTTATGAGAAGTTTCTTTGCATGGGTTTTTCTCACCCCCCTGTTCAAGAACTATAAGCATCATTGCACATAGACAAGAGAATACAGTTATTTGGATATGTCCAAAATGTGATAGCGTATCGAGTAGGAAACAGAGTAGACTCATGTACTGGATATTTATCCAATCTTGAAATTATATTGACCTTATTTTTTCTATATACTTTGAATTTTATCATGTATTTAATGTGCTTGCACTCTGATTTGTGATCCAGGCATGTCAAGTTTAGTAGAAATTCCCATTGCATCGGGTATTTATTATTACCAAGTTAAATTCTTTGATTACAAAAAGGTAATCACATCTGATAGAGCCTCTCATTTGGAAAGGCAGAAGAATGGTGAAGAATTCTGAAACTTGCAGAATGATACTCGTTTTGTTATGTTTCGATGCAACACAAGACTGTAAGCAAGCACATTAATTCTGCCACATTCCACATTCACACCTCATTGTTTTGTTATGTTTCGATGCAGGGCTTTTGCAGCATGTTTGTCTGCAGCAGCAGCGCCAACCTTCAAATAATCATGAATGATGCTTACCTCGTGAGTACAACAAGATCAAAAGTAAACAGAATCAACAATATACCATGAGCAGGCATAAGATATTTAGTTTACCTCTAGGATAATACACTGCAAAGGTAAATCCTTTTATTACAGGATAGGATAATACACTGCAAAGGTAAATCCTTTTATTACAGGATACTGATAAAATTACAAATGCCGGAGCCCTCTCGTTTATAATAGGAAGAAGAATATTGAAGAACTTCTGCAGCTTGCAGAATGATGCTCCAATACTTCAATTATTTGCAGCTTATATTATAATTTATTTTGGTCTGCAACACAAGACTCACACACGGATTATGCCACATTCACGCCTTATTGTCTTTTATGTTCCGATGCAGCAGTTCTCTCCTCTAATGCTAGTGCAGCATGCTTTTCCACAGCGCATGTTTGGTATCCTTCCGACAAAGAAGCAGCAGCGACAACCTTCAAATAATCAAGAATTACATTAGTGGAAAAGCAGTCAACCATGAAGGATAAGCAAGCATGGTGAATTTAAATTACCTTGAGGATAATACACTTTCTCAGATGCCAGCATACGGGGACCTTCAGTTGCATGTGCACAAATGGTGAAGGATGCCACCAAGAGGAGGCTAGCCATGAAAGCCACAGATACAGTTTCCTTTCTCACCATCTTTGCTTGCACAATATATAGTTTGTATCAAAGAAAAATATACATATAATTTTGGAATGAGAAGCGTTGTTTATAACATCCTATTTATACCACAAATTTGCATATACTTTCCTTAGGCTGCTTGGAAATTTATGAGCAGGTGGGGTGTCTTTTTTTGCTTGTACTGCTAGTGTCATTAACTAACTAGTAGCAGTGTAGTGCCTATCAGTTCTGCATGGACATTTTTTTGTCCTTTATTAAGCTTAATAAATTGAATGACTCGTCTCAATAGCTATCTAGATGAAAAATCAGTAACTATGGGCTGCCGGCACTGACTTATCAAGACTTGGAAGATTTGTTTGCTCCACTAGGTGCTTTAACAGAAACAGTATCAGAAACAAGTTGGGCCATTACGCTTTGCATGGAGAGCACTAAACCAAAGTACTGGAAATCTGTGAGTCCTTGAGAGGAGAGTTTCTGTGTGCGTTTTTTAGTTTATTATTATTATTATTCCTTTTCCATCCATGATGGGTTTGGCAGCCAACCTGATGTCGATATATATAATGAAGTTTCTACTAAATAATTCTGAAGCTAGCTATGTCTTAGATATTGTCTGCCTCTCTAGATTTTCCTATAGCTCTCAAGTGAAATAATTGGACAAGGATGTAGGGATTTTCAATGAAGATTCTAGCAACAAGGAAGGTGGTTAAAACCTGGGCTTATCTGTCAAATAATTGGTTAGTTTCTATTCCTCTGTTTAGCCATAGCCGAGATGGGTGGTAGAAGGTACCTAATACCTTATAAGCCAAGATAGTTGGTATATATATATATATATTGTAAATTTGAAAACTCAGATATTTAAGTAAATATATTTTTAGATAAAAAATACAATATTATTTTAGAAAGATAGAATATAAAAATATATATGCTATAAAATATTGAGAAAGAAGAGATTATAAACTGTTTTCTCTTAATTTAAAAGATTCATAAAATTTTTATAGTTCATGAACCTTGTACTTTTATGGAGAGATGGGACTAGAATGTTACCTTGCCTTGATAGTATTGAAAATGGATAAATATTCTCTTCACATTATTAATACATCATAAATATCCCTTACACATTAGGGAAATCATATCAATCATTTTCAGGTCAAATTATGCAATCACTTCAAGAAGAGTGAGTCAATTCCATTATTGGAAGGTTGTGGGGTTTTTGGCCTAGAAAGATTGTATCTATTTTTGTAATTAAGGTAGTGTTTATCTTATCATCAGAGAGTTGTGCAATCCTACTAGGGAGATTATATTGATTTATTCCAAGGTAAATTATGTAATCATACTAGGAAGACTGAATTATTCCATTCCAAGATAAGTTTTGCAATCGCACTAGGAGTACTAAGTTTATTCCATCCCTAGAAAGTTATAAGGTTATTACCTTAATAAGATCGCGTCCATTCCCATTGCTAAGGTAATGTTTGTCCTATTATTGAAGAGTTGTGCAATCGTGTTAGAAAGACCATATCGATTATTTTCAAGATAAATTATGCAATCACATTAGGTTCTTCATTTATGGTTGAAAATTGATTGGTATGACCCTATTTCATTCTTATCATATCCCTAAAACTAGAAGTTGAGGAACATTCGGTTCTTTATATGCTTACTAATATATATATTTCATCATGAACCCTTTCTGTAGAAAATGCATCGTTACAACATCTAGATCGAGAAACCTTTTATTTTTATATCTTTTGCATCGACATCTAATACTCTTAACTAATATTTCTTGGATTAGATAATGTGTTACTAATAAAATTCTGAATCTTATTATAATAATCTATTCTCCACAACTCTTAGGGGTGAATCTCTATAGATCTATGAACAATTTTTCATTACTTATATCAAACCAATAAAAAATAAAGATGACAATATGTATTAATTAACTACATTAACTAAATAATTTGTAAAAATATTGATTTAGCTCAAACTTATTCAATTTATTTTAATAGTACTTTTAATTCATTATCAAATATCTACACAAATTCAAATTTTTACATATTTACTGAAAATTTTAACTCAACAATAAAATTGACAAAAATATAAAATTGACCTGTAAATAAATTATTATTTATTTCATCACAAAACACCTAAGTTAAAAATTCTACATATGTTTCATCAATCTACAAACAAATACAATTTTACAAAATCTAAAACAAGCCCTAACATGTACAAATAATAAATTCATACAATAAATTTGTAAGTAAAAAAAACTATAAAACAAATAAACACCCAAATAAAATACATATACTGAAAAAGTATGCATAAAAAATCAAAATTTTAAAATTGAGTTCAAATAAAAAAAAAATTTGATTACTTAAAGTGGATAATTCTTAATAAAATTTGAATCAAAACATCATTATTGACAAACTAAGTGTTGTGAAAGGTTGAATTGCGTTGAGATTGTAGGGGAGGGGTGGTTGTTTGTTGAAGAAAAATATACTTAAGGAAAAAAGAGATAAGAGAGGGAGAGATGAGGATCAATCGTCAGGTCATAAATTAAATATCATTGATGGCATTACCGATAAAATTATTTTTCTAGTAACTTTATTGGTCATTTTTTGGTAAAAATATCGTATCATCATATAATTTATCTTTTTGAATCACACGATAATACTTTTTGTTATTTTTTTAGTAGGTATTAGGAGAATATTTTTATTAGTGTTTACTGATAAATACAAAAGTGTAAGATTCTATATATAAAAGTCATCCCAGTATCCTAATCGTATTTATTAATTTTCTAATAATAAACATACAAGAGCCTTGCATGCATGAGCACAAATGGTAAAGGATGCCACCAAGAGGAGGTTAGCCATGAAAGCCACCATTAGAGCATCCTGTCTAACATCCTATTTATACCACAAAGTTGCATATACTTTCCGTAGGCCGCTTGGAAATTTATAAGCAAGTGGGGTGTCTCTTCTTCTTTCATTACTTTTTAGCTCCTGTTTGGGGCTGCATCAGTAAATTTTGATTATTTTTATTTTTTAACATTTTAAATTGTTTTAATATGATAATATTAAAAATGAGTTTTTTTTAAATAAAATATTAAAATATTATTTTGATATATTTTTAAATAAAAACCATGCCAGCGAACTTGTACTTGTTCATCAACTAATAGTGCAGTGTCTATCAGTTCTGTAAGGCATTTTTTTGTCCTTTATTAAGCTTAATATATTGTTTGACTGATTTCAGTAACTATGGGCGAGCTGCCATCACTGACTTCATTTGGCTTCCTTATCAGGACTTGGAAGATTTGTTTGCTTCGCTGCATGCTTGAACACACACACACACACAGAGCTTTCAGTAACTATGAGCGAGCTGCCATCACTGACTATGAGCGGCCTCCTTATCAAGACTTGGAAGATTTGTTTGCTTCACTGCGTGCTTGAACACACACGCACACAGAGCTTTCAGGAACAAGGTGGGCCATTACGCTTTCCATGGAGAGCACTAAACCACACAGTACTGGAAATCTGTGAGCCGTCAGAGAGGAGACTTTCTGTGTGCATTTTTGTTTATTTTTATTATTCCTTTGCCAGTATCCATGATGGGTTTAGCAGACCACCCTTAAGTCGATAATGATGAAGTTTGCATGTGCGTGGAATGATTTTGGTGTGTTAAACATTCATAGAATATGATGAACTGTTAAAAAATCTACACAATAATTACAATTTTCATGGCTTTGTTGATGAGTTTGATTAGCTTTGAAAAAATAAGTTCTTTGATGAACATATAATTCTAGGTTATTTAAAAAAAAAAAAAAGTTTCTTTTGCAAAATAAAAATAAAAAATAAAATAATGGTTGGCAACATGGAGAAAGCAGACTGGGAAATTAAGCTGCAATTTAGAGAAAATTCAAGGCCTAATTGTACCTCATTGTGCCTCAAAATAAAAAAAATACAAATTTAAGGTCAAATTAAATAATTATCTGATGAATTTGCATAAAAATCAAGTCCATGGACATAATTAAATTTTTAATAGGCCAATTTAATTTAATCATAGGCCAAATTAAATTTTAATTATGTTTAAGAATTAATTTGGGTTCAATTGAAGGATTTAATTAAGTGTAAGGACTTAATTATACTTTAAAATGGGTCAAATTAATTTTATTTGAGGCTTAATTGGTAAAAACTGAGGGCCAAATTGAAGAAATTCAAAATCAAGGACCAATCTGCAAAATCCACCATAATTTAGGGGCTTAATTGGTAAAAACTGAGGGCCAAATTGAAGAAATTCAAAATCAAGGACCAATCTGCAAAATCCACCATAATTTAGGGGCTTAATTGGTAAAAACTGAGGGCCAAATTGAAGAAATTAAAAGTTTAGTGGTTAATTAGGGGTTCAATTGACAAAATCCAATACTAAGGACCATATTGTAAAAAGCGCGTAACTTCAGGGTTCCAATTGAAGTTCTCCAGGGGCTTAATTACATTAAATCAAGAATTTATGGTTAATTAGGGGTTCAATTGACAAAATCCAATACTAAGGACCATATTGTAAAAAGCGCGTAACTTCAGGGTTCCAATTGAAGTTCTCCAGGGGCTTAATTACATTAAATCAAGAATTTAGGGTTAATTAGGGGTTTAATTGAAATCAATTGAAATATGGAGGGCTGGATTAAAAATCATTAAAAATCCCTAATTAATCCAAAACGACGCAGTTTTGAAAAAAAAAGGAATTAGATGACGCATTGTTTGACTCTGTTCATTGTCTTCCCCGATTTTGCCCGAAAATATTGCCCGGGTGGCTACTTTTTAGATATATTTAATGCTTCATTGCTTCATCAAATCTAACAAAAAGTGCACGATAATGATCCCATATAGTTTCTTTACAGCACTGATTGAACAGTTCAGTCTAAATGGCGACGAGATAGTGCCGGTACCGGCCTAAAGTAGCTAACTCAAGCAGTCTTTTCTGCAGATTAAACAACTCATGAGGCACAGTTTGAGCCAACGGTTGGGATGCTTCCCGATCGAATTAAGGGCTGAGTTTTTTTCCTTGTGTAGACGAGATTACCCTCTTCCACCAGCTATAAATAAAGGCGAATTTGATGGCCTGAGAGGGGAGAAAATCGATCAAAAATTAACCTTTCTTCCCATTTCTGTAGTTTTTCTTTCCCCTTCTCTCTTCGCTGTTCTAGCTACCAACCGAAGCCGCCAAC